CCCCCCCCCCCCCCCCCCCCCCCCCCCCCCCGCCAGCCCAGAAGACATGAATTTATTTGCTTGCGTTACGATGAGATGAGAGCGGAGCAGCACTGAGAGGTTTATCTTTCGCCTCTGACATTCTGGCACAGCAGTTTGCCTGTTTTGAAAGAAGGGGATCCCTGGGCATCAGCACATATATTTATCTGTTCGCAAAGTTATGTTGATCTTCCAGGAGAACTGGGAGTCTGTAAATTGTAAATTGTAATCGTCTGTCAGCAAAAATTATGTGTGGCTGTACCAACGGGTGTAGCTCGATTGGGACACACACCTGAACTGGTGTCACAGTGGTCAAATACAGACTCTCAAGTTATCATCCAGAATCGTCAGATAGCTTCAGAATCTTCAGCAGATGAAAAGAATAAGAGCATTCTGAATTGCCTGGGGAGTCGGGATGGTCGGTTCAATGATGATACCTAAAGGTCGTCACCCCTTTGAAAAAAGAAAGGATGTCGCGGTTGTCACCCCTTTAAAAAAAGAAAGGATGTCACGGTTGTCACCCCTTTTTAAAAAGAAACGATGTCACCCCTTTTAAACCACCAGTACATCCGAAAAAGCAGATTGAGACTCTCCTAAAAAAATAAAAATAGGAGGCTGTGAAGTAGTATGAGCCGCCGAATCGGCGCCGATTCATTTTATCGATGTGCTCCGAAATTTTAGGCGAGGCTCAATCTGCTTTCTCGGATGTACTGGTGGTTTAAAAAAGAAAGTCTGTCAACCCTTTCAAAAAGGAAAGTATGTCAGTCACCCCTTTTGAAAAAGAAAGTATGTCAGTCACCCCTTTTAAAAAAGAAAGTATGTCAGTCACCCCTTTTAAAAAAGAAAGTGACAGTATGTCACCCCTTTAAGAAAAGAAAGAAAGTATGTGTGTCTATGTTCCAGCGAACGGTTCGCTGTCAGAGATTGAAGTTTAGTTAACCCACAAGGGTCAGCAAATGGGTAAGTGTGTCAGCAAATGGTATGTGTGTCTATGTTCCAGCGAACGGTTCGCTGTTAGAGATTGAAGTTTAGTTAGCCCACAAGGGTCAGCAAATGGGTAAGTGTGTCAGCAAATGGTGGTTATCTGTCAGCAGGAGGTGTAGTGTCAGAAAATGGTTATCTGTCTCAGTTTGTACACCGACAAACTGTTTTGAAATACAGACCGGAGTTCGAATCCGTATGCAATCAAATTCAAATGTGACCAGAACAAAATATCCCTATCAATTGAATTTAATTTTTAATTACCTGGGGGCGGTCAGTTTGAGTGATGAGATCTCCAAAAGGCCGTCTACCCTTTTTTGAGAGAAAAATGTTATCTGGCAGAGGATGGTTATCCGTCAGCGAATGGTTATGGGTCAGCAAATTGAATGGTTGTCATTCCTGCCCATTGGAGTTCTTGTTGCAATAATAAGCTGCAGATTCGTGCAGAATCTTTTTTTTTTTTTTTTTTTTTTTTTTTTATGCAGGGACCTTCCCTGGCCCTTGCCCGGCTGGGCCCCCCCAGGCAACCTGGACGGCCCGGTTGGTCTTGCAGGTGCAGATGACGTTCATCGGTTGATCTGTGGGTTGTTTTTTGACTTTCTTCTTTGTGAATCATGGCAGCCTGTTTGGACGATCGCCAAAAGTTTTGTCCGAATGTTGAGGATGGAAAATCTCGAGTGCTTGATTGCCTAGAAGACCATCGTTACAACCTTTCTAAACCATGGTGAGTAGGGAAGGGAATCAAGGGAGTCAAGGGATGGATGGATGGATGGATGGATGGATGGAGGGAGGGAGGGAGGAAGGATTTCAGAAAGGATATGAAGGGTAATAAGTTTACTTCTTTTCTCTTTTTGAGAGAAGGTTAACAACAGTCGTATTTTTCATCACCACTTCAGGACACCCCTCACCACTTCAGGATGCAGCCTGCCTAAACAGGTGGTTTTCAGGGTCTTCGGGCCTTTCACCACTTCAGGACACCCTTCACCACTTCAGGATGCTACCTGCCTAAACAGGTGGTTTTCAGGGTCTTCGAAACTTCACCACTTCAGGACCATTTAGGATTTTCAGACTGCCCTAAGCTCTCACTTCACCACTTAAGGATGCAGCCTGCTTAACAAAGGTGGTTTTCAAGGTCTCCGGACCTTTCACCACTCCAGGACCATTCAGGATTTTCAGACTGCCCAAATCTCTCACTTCAGAATTTTCATTCCTGAATTTTCAGCTACCCGTTAACCGCTTGTGCTCTTTTTGTAATTTGTTGATAAATTGTTGATTTAAATGATTTTAGTATTTAACTTTTTTTCCTTTTCTTTTAATGCCCGAACAGGGTTGTATACCTGCCGACCGTATTGCAGCCGACCAGCAGGGCCGACTGGTCGGCGGTCTGCTGACCAGTCAGAAAACAACCATCCACTGATTTGTTTTCAAATCTGAGTTGGGGACTATACTACTGCGCTTGATGAGTACAGCCCAAATCTGCTGAGAAACTTTTGGGGATGGGAGGGGGGTTGGAGGGGGTTGGAGGGGGGG